AATGTTCCGCAGGTGTGTTCATACGGCGGTTATCATGGAATCTTCAATGTGACACTTCCGTGCCATCCCATGAAAAGCGGCGTATGGTCCCCAAGTAATAAAAAGCGTGTGCCCTAAACGAGAAAACAATGGGCGGAACTAAATAAAATGGAATTTTGAAAGGGGATCAGAGGTTATGAAGCCTGCGTATCACCGATAAGACGTCAAAAGACAAATTTAAAAAGCAGGCAACATATCCTAAGGGTGATCCAACATTATTCAAGTAGGAATATTGGAACCACCCAACTAGAAAATGCCGAAAAGTTGAAACTAAAAATACCACAAACACAACAATAATGTCGTGCTGAACGATCTTCAAGGATCGAAAATATAACATCATTGATTAAATGTATGTGGATACTTTTTACAGCCGCCACACGGCACAAATAACACGGATGTGATCCTAAAATAGATAAATACAGAATCCCTAAAGAAAGCCCAACACGGCAAAATTGAAAATGTTGCAGGCTCAGTTTGATTGAGCCTGTTCATAGACGGTACTGGAAAGTGCAAGCTACCGTCCACGCCCCCTATCACTGGCTTAAGCAGAATTCAACATTTAAACATGAAATAGTAAAATTTTGAATTTAGAAACATCTGCAGATGTGTTCATACGGCGGTTATCATGGAATCTTCAAACACTTATTTATGTATAAAAACAAAAGCATTCATGAATTATTACCTTTTCTTCTAAAATATTTGACAGGAGCCACAGGGCTATAATTGATGATGGTGGTAGTGTTTGTGGTTTTGGTGGTTTAATTGATGGTGTTGATGATAATAGTAGTGGGTTTGTTGCTGATAATGGTGTGGATGATGATATTGGTGGTGGTTTTGTTGGGGATGATGATGATGATGATATTTCAAATTAAACGAAATATATTTATATATAATACAAAAGTTATTCTACATTATACTGTACAATACGGAATATTGGCTCGTCCAATATGACCTTTCAAGCTGTGTACTCGTCCAAATATATTCCCGTATTGTACAGTAAAATGTATACATGTAATAACCTGTAATTATAAAAAAAAGATACAGATTTAAAATGTGAAAGTCATAATAGGCTGTTTTAAGATATAAGTTTAAATTGTATTCAAACTTATCTTGTCATTCAGATTTTATGTAGTTTAATAATATTTTATGGTCTTTGAATACAATTTAATAACACTATTTTCAGATAACAACAATTTGTTACTAAAGGGAAAAGTCTTGAACAACAAGTTCCAGCCGCATTATCAACTGTTTTAGATTACAAATTTGCTATCAATTTTATTATTTTTAAACAAAACATTTTCCTACATTTGCAGTACATATATGTGACAATTTGTATGGCTGTTCAAAATATCGACATTGATAGTATATTCTTTCCTTATTTTATCCATGAATCAGCGAAAATTATAGTTTAAATATGTTGAATATAAAGAGAAAAGTCTCTCCACAAAAGTATGTACCGGTATTAAGACTTGAAGCATTTAAATAATCTGCATGTTAAAAGTACTAAAGACTTATAGTTATGACGTTTTTAAAGTTATAAAACTAGTATTTCCATAAAAGTATGCGTGACACTATTTTATTTTTCGGGATAAGGGAAGCTAAGGGAGTAACCTTAGCAGAATGTGTTGAGAAAAAGCTCATGACTTGATTAAAAACAAAATGAACAATGAAAATGCTAAGAAATCAATAACTTTGCAGACTGCTCATAGAATCGGAGAGTACAATTCAAATTCAATTCAATTCAAATAAAAAAACACCCGTTGTCGCAAAATTTGCAATCTCTCCCGAAAAGGAGTGCGTGCAAACGCGAGTAGTCTGACAAATCCATATTGTTTAAATCAACAATACCGAAAGACGTTGAAGAGACCAAGAGACGCCTCGTCATGAATATGCTTGAGGTGCGCTCTCAAGGCAAGAAATATTTCATACATCACGTAAACTTTTCATCAAAGGTTATACAGCGATGGCAAACGTGGCGATACTCGTATTAAGGAAAATTATAGGAGAAATATAACGTGTTTATTTATTAACCCAACAGAAAATAACTTACCCCCATTTTATAAAATTCACTGATACGTATGATTTGATATTTTAAAATGAAAAATGGACAAGTAAAATTATAAAATAAACTGAAATGGTTATAAACAGTTTCATACGTTGGCACAGATGTGAAATGTGTGTGTATTTATTTATCTCCTGCGCACAAGATACTATGTTGTGACAACGAGTTCTTAAGTTGTGCCCTCGAGATAATTAAGTGATGCGCACGAGATACTATGTTGTGGCCACGACTTACTAAATCGTGCGCACGAGATAATGAAGTCGTGAGCACGAGATACTATGTCGTGGGTACATGTGATTTAATCTCAAGCATTGGTAAAAGAAAATTATCCACATTTATGAAATCAAAATTGTTCAATGGACCAATATTAACCACGTGCAACAACAGATCAAAGATAAAATCGCGTGGCGATCTCTTGTTACATTAGACCTTCGTGTGGTAAATGGCCGTATTATTAAAGATGCTAATACGGGTCATTGTACATGCTATACACATAATGGTGAAAGTCTTGTTGTTTTACTGATAATGTCATTTTTGTATATCTACTATTTCAATGTACAGGAGTTTACGATTTTTTCCAATCACTCGCCAGTAATGGTTTTACGTGCGAAAAGCGTATCACGTGACAAGAAAAATTACGAATGCGCTTCCCATAAGTGTAACTATCAGTATAGAATGAAATTTCACGCCACGTAGATGAATTATGTACTGACTTAATCGCGAATAAAGACAGCGGCCAAAGTACGGATTCTTTGGTTAATCTTGTATCTGAATTTATTCCTAGCAGGGGAAATTTTTATTTTGAAATACATCGTTATAAACCTAATAAAACATGAATTGATAAAAGTCATTATCAAATTCGATTTAATGAGTTAGGTAGGAGTTAAAAAGAAAGCTGTAAAGAAACACTTGCACAATTCAATGAAGCAATGAATTCTGAAAATAAACAATTTATGTATAGTAAGAAATGTAATTAATGCTGCTTTAAAATGACTTAACAAAAAGACTTAAAAGTATCTCATTAAAATGGAGGAAATGAAAAAGAAAAGAAAATATAAGCATAATGTCAGTAAAAGGATACAGAGGTTCTGGTAAGTTATGTGTGACGTAGATGTGGTTATAACTTCAGTAAATTTACCTGCATAAATATTTGATACCACGTGAAGGTACATGCAAGAACTGAAGAGCCTAATGAAAAATGTTTCATGATATTTCGGATTATTAATATTATTTATACTTTTCAGAAATTCAGGAAAGTATTTGTATCAAGTTAGGGTTTAAAAACTTGTGTACTCTGTGGCATTGTATTTTTATTGACAATTTTTTTAGTATTTCTTCTTAATGCTTATCAGGTCCTATAATTATCTAAATCTATGGACTTTTTGTATCAATACTTTATCTAAAAATGTTTCTTTGTACAAATATTATTATATCCATAAAATGTACTTGTTTATACAAACAGATATATACATACTCGAACCCCTGTACTATCTCGAAAATATATATCTACCAGATATCCATCTATGTATCCTTCAGTACGTGTTTACATGGCACATATCTGACATATTTCAGGTTTCGCCCCAAGAGCTTTGCATACACTCATTTTAGGACTATCCATCTGCATGTCAACATGTTCTTTTATTGTCCCTTACTGAACATTATGGATGGCAAATATCGAATGGCATTAACGTGTTACATTAAATGTTCCATGATAACCGCCATGTGAACACATCTGCGGATGTTTCTAAATTCAAAGTTTCACCATGTTCATGTTTAAATGTTAAATTCTGCTTAAGCCGGTGCTAAGAGGTGTACTTATTACATATTGCAAATACATGACTTAAATATTCGGGAAAAAAACGTTTATAAAGAAGAACAATGTACAATCATTTTTGAAAAACACAGTCATATTTCACATGTTAAAATATTGCTGGAAGGAAAAAGAGTTTCATTCCCTAATACAACTAGCTTATTCTGAATATAAGCCGTTTTCGAAATGATTATATAAGCATTTAGGATGGTAATAATATGCATCAACGACCCAAGAAACCACAAAATCAGTCTAACTATAACAATTCATTCTGTTGTTTTCACTAAAACTCATTTCTGTTACGTCTATGACAATGTTGTTCCTAGATCTGAAAATAAACAAATAAATAAATATATATAGATATAGATAAATAAATAAATAAGTAAATAAATAGATAAATAAATAAATAAATGAAAAAATAAATGAATAAGTATATAACATAATATAACATTAATTTATTAATCAATCAATTAATTAATAAAATATATAAATAATAATTATGAACAACAATAATGACACCAAGTACTTAAAATTATCATATTTCTAGGTAAATCAAGTAAACACATTACAATTACCATTGTATACATTATCCGTTGTCCTGTTATTACCCAAACTCTCGTAATTATTAGTCACTTCAGCTGACTCAGTATTTACAGCTCTGAAATCAGTTCTAGTGTTATAATATGTTGGAATCTCAACGTTAGGTTTGTTATCTTGGGACGTCTTACCCGCAATAAACCTGTGTTAAAGTGTAGAATTTATAATATTATAATATAAAAGTCGATTTTTAGTAAAATGTCAACAAGTGACAGACGACCAAATTAACTTGAAAGTACAAACGTATCAATTAAATAATTAATAAAAGAAGACAATAACACCATGATCGATTGATTATTATCATCATCATTACTATCATATAATTATTCATTCTTATTATTATAATTCATCAGTAACTAAAATTTGTCTTACTTTAAGAACAAATATTTTGTATAGTATTAAATTCGCGAATATATTCACCTTCGTCTAATTAGCTTAAACAATACAGTAAATACTACTATTGCAGCACACGATCCGAATCCAGAGAAATAACCAATCGTAAATATACTAGCTTTATCGTCACGTTGCACAAATGCTTGCTGTTGTGTTACAATTTTGGCTGAAGTTGTTGTCGTCAATGATGTTTCTGCAGATATAACATTTACTTGTAAAAACATTACCCTAACAACGCTCTATTGATTACTGGAACAATTTTCTTGTCATTAACTGCACAAACACTCTTTTAAGGTCAAGTCAGCTCGCATTGCTTCATTGCGTGAGAGTGAGACTTGCTCGTTATCTGACATTGAGGGTTCGATTCCCGGGTTGCCTAACTAAAAATACTAAAAAAATCTTTCCGATGAGAAATTAAAGTCTTAGATCATTAATTAACATTTGAAAGAGTTAAAGTGATAATTACATTTTTTACAAGTATAACCATTTTCTTTTGAGGGCATCTTGCAACTGTCTAAACATGTTGATATACATTTTTCGCCAATCCAGTCATCAAAACATTCCCCTTATCATATTAGTGTTCTATTACAATACTAACATATGCGCATATGACAAATGAAATATATTCAGTATCACTTAAATGCCACAATAATAAATTGAGAAAAATAATGACTATCTATAATCTGTGTTAATGATGAGTTTGATTCAGCGTTATTGAGTTAGTATTATATGCGCGTGAGTTAAGGTTTCCTTACACGAGTTAACAAGTTCGATCGTATAAACAACTAGGTGAACACGTAATAGTTACCAACGTCAAAGGTAATTATCGTGTAGAAGAAAAATAAAGTATTTCCAATATCACGTTTATCACAAATAATCAAAACTATTTAATATTTGTGTTAATCATGAATATGATTTAATTAAAATGTCTCACTTATAAATTGTATTGATTTATTTAAAATGAATTCTAAACAGCAATCATATGCACCTTGTATAGCGATTGTGGATGTTTTAGAACATCCGTCTCCGGTCAGGCCATCATTACATCCGTCCGTGCATGTACCATTGTTTCTATCACATTTAAGATCTTTACATCCGTCAGGACAGGGTTTATCACAGAGGTCACCCCAATAGGTTTGTTTACATCCGTTTAAACAAAATCCCTCTGCATGTTCACATGTCTGTTTACCACTTTTTATTAAGCATGCCGGGTTGCAGGCTAAACTGCAATCGGTTGAGTAATAATCACCTTTACACAGTAGACAGCTATTTCCGTTATCTTTTGAGCACTTTAAACACTTACTGTTACATGTTTCGGAACATTTTTCACCAAACCAGCCCTCAATACATTCTCCTTGACATATTCCAGTACTATCACAATACGTAGAACATTTTTTTGAGCACAATGATGTGTGTGATACGCATGTTGTACCATTGAATATTTGTCCTTCTAGACAATCAGCGCAGACTAACGAATCGTTGTGTATTTGACACTGGTTACAGCCTTGAATAACACAGTCCGGACATTGCGATTCTTCCGAACATAGCACACAGTAAACATTTTCATTAAACTTATAGAGGTGAAAACCATTATTGCAAATATTACACGTTTTCCCATCCATACAATGTTTACAATTTGACAGACAGTTTTGGCATATTGATTCGGGACCGGTTTTATACTCATAATAACCAGCTCTACAACCACTCGAGCAGGTACGTAAGTCACAATGCTCATTTTTACATAAACTGCAGTTGTGTCCGCATTGCAAACCATATAAACCAAGCTTACATTCAGTACAATAGCCAGTATCATCAGCACATTCATTATTAAGACAATTACCTTCACAGTTGAAAGTGCATCTTGCATGCAAACCAAACATGTTTGGCTTACATAAAGTACAATCATCGTAGCTGTTACAGCTTTCACAATTTCCTAAGCATCGTGAACAAAATCCATTTGATAGAAAGTAAGATGATTCACAACTTGTACAAGTTAAACCGGAGCATGATTGGCAGCCAGCAGGACATTCTGTAAATATTTACAAAATACAATAATAAATATTTTGCCTATTTACTTATTTTAACTATTTCAAAATACACAATGTATGGAACAATAAATGAGAGTCAGATTTTTTATAGAATATTAAAAATATAATTGCAACCACAAAAATAATAAAATAAAGTAAAAGAATAATAAATAAACTTTAAAAATGATAAAAATAGATGTAAACATTTATTAGATGCGTTTAAAAATGTTAATGAACAAGTGGGTCTTTGTACAGTACAAATATCATAAAAGTAAAAAACTTACCAGAATATACCATATAAACAAATAGTACTAGTAGAAATACTGACGTTTCTTTGGACAACATAATCCCGTATTCATATATGCTAGTCGTTCTAAAAATGAGAATAATATACGTACATATTGATAATAATTCAATAAATTTAGGGGGAAATTTTCAAGTATTTACGTTTTGAAGCATAACCAATTGATGCTGGTTTTATAATTCTTCAATTCTGTTTGTTATATCTTTAGCGTAAAAATCAAAATGGTACTCAAAGTATGTATTTTGTACTAGAAGTTCGATGATGTATATTACCATAAAATATTTAAGACATCGAATGTATCATAAAGAGTTTTCAATCTACAATTAAGATTAAACAAAAAGTAGTGAGATTTATAAATGCCTTGAAAGAATGATCACAATTATTGTTACTACTGTTTGGAAAGGAAAAGAAGTGAAGAAATATTACTAGACATTTTTAAAAGGAACACATTATATAATATTTAAATACCTGAATAATCATCCACAAATTAACCTGTTCAAAACTTCCTCTTTATATGTTGTAACTTGAATAACTTCGGTATGCATCAATGACTCCCTTTAAAGCAATTATAAAGGTAATTTTAGACGTGAAAATATACAGATAGATACGGTTAAAAAAGAATAAGATCGCTTTTTAAATCATTTTTTTCTATTATCTTACAATTATAAGTAAAATAAAAAACTCTAATCAAACATATGAAAGAAAAGTATAATTTACTTTAGGAATGTTTAGTTCTATTCAAAATTAAGGTACTTTAAATGTATGCAAGTCATACTTACGGCCCCCCATTCGGTGACATTGAAACGTCCTATATTCGCAATAAACCTTACTTCACGAATTCAGGATTTAAGCTGAAAGAATTAAATTTCATGAATCATGACTTCAACTTTATCATGTAATCATATCTCCAATATTTTCAACCTCATGAATTCACGATTTCAATTGTTGTAAATGATTTCACATCAACAAAATTTCAACATCATTCTTGAACGATTTCGAATTCAAAAAACACAAATACACATTTTCAATTTCACAATTTGAATTAAAGTATTTGTAAAGCTGAAGTAATGAAATTTCTTTCAGTTATTTGATATAATAATTGTTAATTTATGAAGTTGAATTGTGAAGCTGATCTTGTAATTCATGAATTTGAAAATGCGAAATCGTGAGGCACAAACTTGTAAAGTTGAAAAATATCGGTGCAATCACGTTTAGCAAAGTTAAAATAGTATAGTAATGACGCTTAAAATCAAAATAAAGTCATGAACTGATCTCGTTAATTCGTGCATTCAATTTGATAAAAATGAGTTACTATAATTCTGAGAACTTGTTTCGCAAACGAGCTAGACATATATGTCATATGTCTGAAAGTAATATTTTAAAATCGCGGCTTCATTATCTGTAAAATTGAATTCGTCGTTTCGTAAGGATAATATATCCTTATCGTCAGTATTTGCGAGTGTGTTTCCATGTAAAAATATGCAAACATGTTAAAAAATGACCTCGCATTGCGATTTTTAAAAATTTAATTCCATCTTTGATTTAACGCCGATTATACATGTATGCAATTGCAATTTTGTGTCCTTAAATATAGACACATTATAACTATAATCTGGAATGTACTCGTATATATGTACATGAATTAGCATCATATTTGGTTTTATTTGTCGGTCTATATTTGCTTGTTTGTTTGTCTTATCCAAGGTAGTTAAGGTTCGGTTTGGGAAAATTAATGTGTTGAATCCAATTGATATAATAGCAAATTCAAAAAAGTCACAAAAAACAAAACAATTGTTAACAATTATGATTTGTTTTCTGAATATAAATTCAAACCTATATTTAGTAAAGAATACAGAATGATGTTCTGATCAGTTGTTCATTGATGTAGATGTGAAAAGAAGTTTTTTATGAAACTTGTATACCACGTGCAGGTGCATGCAAAAACTGAAGAGCCTAATTGACAGAATATGTTAGGGAAGATCGGATTATTAATGTTCTATATCGTTTCAGAAATTTAGGAAAGTCTTATTTTCAAAGGGGTGCGATAGTAATATACTCATGACATTGACTTGTTATTGTAAAACGAACGTGTAAGTGTTTTTATATTTAAAATGCTCATCAGGTTCTTATAATCATCAAAATCTATTGATGTTAATATCAATTTTTACGGTAACACATGCATTTTTAAACAGCTATTATCATTCCTAAAAATACGCTAGTTTATAGATATGAACTTCTTTCTAACGCCTCTAGTAATTTGAAAAGATATTTCTCCGTGATGTACATCTTTACAAATGTGTTGTCTGTCACATTTTTTTATCTTGACATCCCTCACATTAGGATGTATTTCATGTTTTGCACAGGCTAATTCATACCCTAATTTTGAATCACAGGTGATTGAAAGCAACTATTTATAAATGTTCTTTATGGGCTACATACTTATTTTAAGATATATGGTCTCCAACTGAACAACAACATCGTGCTGAACAACTCTTTTCTATCAATCTGCTGAGTCTCAACTGAGAGGAAGCCCTCTATGTACGTAATTATTTTGAAAATGTTGGTCGTTGAAGCTCAGGTCAGGTAAAGAATGCCATTTTGATTTTGAAGTGACAGGAGAATGAAGCAAAAGAAATAGTGTTATAACGACTTGTCAATGGTAAAAACAGGTAAACACATGTTTAATTATTCTTTTTCAATGGCGTAATGCATTTGATTATGAATCCTTTTGCACATATGTCTTGCAATATTAAGATGAATCATTATATTGTTTTAAAAAACTGCATAGATGTAGGACTAAAATCACATTCGTAAAACATAATTATAGTGCGACAGAATGTGATTCCATTGTTGATAAGAAGCATGTGCGTACATGCAGTACAGGACTATAGAAATATCATAATCAATAATTACGTTAAACATCACCTTAAAATGAATTGTTGAACATAAACAGGAAAGTAAAAATATTATTGAGATAATGATTGTTTGTTTAAAAGAAACTTCTTATCAAAATGGATTGCATCTCGATAAACTAACTTTAATATTATCTTTTAATGTAAATGAAAAATAAAATCTTTGTAATAATGATAAACCAATTTCAATGTCATTGATCATTATGAAACACTTAATTATTGGCAATTTCATTTTTTTCATCAAACCAATATTATTTGCAATATTTTAAAGAATCAAAAACACATTTATAACTCCTTTTTTCTTAAAATATTTATAATCATAAGCACAAAAAGGGTCTTATGTTATTGTAATAGTTATCCTAATACAAATGGCGGCGAGGTTTGTGTATATGTTACGTTGGGCTTCATAATAGCCCAGTATAAAACGCCAATCATAATCACGAACTTCAAGGCTGACTTTCTCGCAATGGCCTTTTTCATAATCAAAATTGGCTGATTTGTCTATTGGTAGTTACCGCATAAATATTGCACATTTCATTATTTTGATTATAAATGGTCTATGGTTTAAGAAATGCATTGACAAAAACGTGCCAAAATAATTAATTAAACCTAATTATTAAATTTATATGGTAATAAATATCGTCTCTGGCTTTAGAGTGTATTAATAAGAAACAGAAAGCAAGTTTCAAAAAGTACAAACATCCAATAAACGCGTTCTTAGACTAGCGATAAAAGTACATGTTATTATGTAAAGAGTTGAGACATTGACCCATGCATTGATGAAGTTTCCTTAAGGGTTTGACCATCCTTATGCATTACCTCC